CTGAAGGACACTGGAGTCCACAGAGGATCTTGTTCAAATGCAGATTCTGATTCAGTTAGGTCAGGGGCGGAGCCTGAGGTTCTGCATTCCTAATGAACTCCCAGGTGGTGAGGACAGGGCCAGTCTGAGAAGTCCATTGGAGTAGCAAGGGATTAGAGCACTTTGTTTTTTCCTTAAAACAAAACAAACCAACTTCTGAAGGTGTCAGATTCTAGCAGCAGGCGTGACGTGTCAAGATTTCCATAAGGGTAGAGAAGCTGAAAAGCATTTGGATAAAGGGTGGTGCTAAGTAGCAAGTGTGGTTTCAGAGGGGCTGCCCCGTTCAGCAAAGACTGTCAGGTACTGTCCCTGCCACATACTTCTGTTGATCCCATCACTGAGTTGAGAATACTACTGGTGATCGGAGGGGGGCGGTGAGGAATCGGGGATGCTGAGTAAGTAAGCTAAAGGCCAGAGAATTGGCCAGCCCAAGAGGATACCCAATGCACGTCTGCTAGAATAGGCATCGGGAGTGACCGTTGTGTTGAGGCTACTGGACTGGGGCCATCAATAGAATATTTTCTCCTTTCTTAGAGTACCAGCCCATGGGCCATGTCCTTTTCTGCTGGGTATTCCCAGCTTCTGGCTCCTATCAGGGCTCACAACATGCTGTCATTACAGGACTTGTGAGAAGTAGGAGCACGTAAAGGAGGCTCAAGGATGCAGCTGATGCCTCGGACAATAGTCACGCCAGCCAAAGGCAGCAGGATGTCCCCAACCAGACTCTCCTGCACAGTAACAGAGACGACACTGGAGCAGTCAGCCTGGAGGTTAGCAAATCCACCGACAGGGGAACACTTTGAGGAAGCAGCCTACCGGCAGTATCAGCTCTCCTGCTTGCCCCTCAGACTCTCCCGCAGTACAAGGGTGTGCTGGATGGGACGGTCTTTAGGCTTCTCTCACAGGAACGATCCCGCCGTCCCACATTCCGTGATGCCATTTGCTTCAGAAAGAGAGCCTAGGAATTCGACTCCCTTCAGTCCTTGTCTTGCTGGTACCTCACATTTTCTCACTTGATTAAATCCCCAGTCCCATTAATGAAACTAGAAAAACCTGCTCTGTGTATTCGAGGTGAGTGTTGGAGGGAGAGATTTGAAATCACCCAGAATACTTTGTCTTAGAGCAATTTGGCTGAAATTACCAAATACTCACTATATTTTCCTCGTTCTATTCATTTCCTCTTCCCCTTCCCAAATCCATAAATCCTCAGTTTCTAGAATTGGGGAGAAACCCCAAAAAATCCATCTTTTCAGTGTTTGGAAGCTACAGATCAACTCTATAAAGAAAAAAAAAAGCAATAGTCACAACCATAACATACATAGTCGGCTTGTGATTGCGGTATTCTCCAACAAAGGTCTTCAGATACTAGGAGTCTTAAGTGCAGACTAATATTTAATTAGCATTGCCTAATTTCTAAGTAGTCTTCCTAGTTTTGCTTTGAGGCTAGTGTTTGAATCATTTGAAATGACTCTGATATCAAGAAGCTTCTGCATTTAGAGCCTTTTTCAGTCTCCCACACACAGAGAGGACCCCACTGGCCAGCAAGCCCCAGGTGATGTCACCTGCAAGAGGGGGCATCTACCGCCCCGATCATTTGTTCCAGTTTGGGTCAATTTAACAAACCTCAGGAGAAAGTACTGTGGCCTTTTCAGGAGAGGGAAGCTTTCTTAGAGATGAAAAAAAAAAAAAAAACATGAAATGAATGAAAATATCACACAAGGGCGCAGACCCCACAAAACACTACCACATGAGAGCCACTGCAGAAGAGATTTCTGGGCAAAATGAAGCTATGAATTGAGTACTTCAATCTTATTTTAGGTGCCTTGCTTATATTTACTTAGTTCATTTCAGTGGCCACCTTGTGACCTAGTAAGTGCACTCATTGTTTCCATTTTACAGAAGAGGACACTGAGGCCCAGCCCAAAGTCTGGCCTGGCTGGTGAGGGGCGGGGGGAGCTGGGATGTGAACGCCTGTTGGGTTCCAGCACCCACAGTTCATGACTCTGCTTGGTTCTGGGTGGGAACTAGGTCAAGATCAGGGAACGCTTTATCACCATCCTGCCGAGGAGGATTCAAGGGAAGATGGCCATGAGGGTCCTGGTGCCCCACTTTTTGGGATGTGCGATTGGAGCCTTCCGGCTGGGACTGAATACAGTCCTTGCCTCACTGGAACCAGGTGGGGCATTCCCCCTCTCCCAGAAAGGGCTGCAGCCGCTGGAGGACATGGTGAGCAAGCCTGGGAGTTCATGGTGAGGAAGCAAGTGCCTGCCCCCCACCTCCACTCTCCACCCACCTACCTACTATGAACCCCGGCCAAGCCACCCGTGGGTACTTACAGCCCTGGGCAGGCCCCGGAGCCCAGCTCAGGGAGCAAACACGAAAAATTCAAGTTTGCATGGAATGAAATTTGGCCGGCGGAAGGTGCCTGCAGCTGGTGGTTAACACCAGCAGTAAGAGGATCAACGCCTAGTCCAGGGCTTAAAAGGGGAGGGTGGGGTGGGGTGAGAAGCGTGCGCACTCCCTTTTACCCATTCACGTTAGTTAATTTGGATGATAAGGGTTCGTGTTTAATCCCTTTGTGTGCGAGTGAATATACTGAAATGGACAACCCCTGAGAGGGCACCCGCGGCTGGCAGAGCGACCTGCGGGAGGGTGCAGGTCGTGTCCAATCTGGCGTGATGTAGAAAAGAAACGTCCTGACCAGACCGAAAGCAAGACGGAGAGGGACAGCCTAGGGGTGCGTGGTGCCCACCGAGCCGCACACCTCCCAGGCCACGGCGGGTGGGCTGCTCTCTTCCCCAAGGCCCAGCACCCCAGGCCCGCCTCTGCGCCCTAGGAGCCCCCTAGGTCCCACCAGCGAGCGGGGCTCCTCCTTAGCCACCTCTGCCGAGGACAAACGACACCCAAAGGGAGAGTCCGGGCCCTGCCACGGCCCATTACAGTAGAGAGAATTTAGGCGAGGTGGAGGGGGGGGCAGAAAAGGAGGGAAAGATATCTAAGGAGAGGTCTCGGTTGTTCTCAGATGGAACAGATCAGAAAAAGGTGAGAGCTCAGTGGCTCTAGAGCAGGTTGTAAAACAAAAACCATTTTTTATAGTTTCCATCTGCAAGAAAGCTCACACTCCACCTATACCCCGCACGCCCGGAGCCCCCGGAGTGCGGGACCGAGGCAGCAAACGGGAGCGAGCCCTGCGGGTGGGGGAGGAGGCCCCCCGGCCGCTAGCCACGCTGCCCGCAGGGGCGCAGGAGGCGGCGAGAGTTCCCAGCCGCCGCCGCCCCCCTCCTTCCCCTCGGGCCCGTCCAGCAAATTTCTTCCCTGGTTTCTGTTCGTGCCTTCCCTCCCTCCTCCTCCCCCGATATATTCGCTCTCTAAAACCATAAAAAAGAGATCAACTTCCCTAACTTCACGGAGCCCTTTTCAGTGACAAATATTGATGCCCAAAGTGTCTGCGCTCTCCCGCCCCCAAACGTTAAGAAAAGGCGCCCGCGAAAGGGGGACATAAAAAGTTAACAATGCTGTGAAAATATGTTTGCAGAAAATAGACAATCGTTGGATTAAACGTATTCAAGTATGAAATAATGCCTTTTTGTGTCAAAACTTGGGCGATGGGCGGGTACAAAAGTTCCCTGTGGCAGCTACTTGCTCCCTTTGTGAGCCGTGCGCTTTGGCGTCTCCACTTGGGCGCATTACTCAGAGCACTCTAAGCGCGATTGTTTCTCCCTTTCTAATGACATTTACCGGATCAAAACATGCTGTTAATTCGATCAGAAGGCTTCACCCTCCCTGACAAAGCCACAATAATTTCTCCTGAAGTTTGTTAAATTGACCAAAATTAGGCAAATGAATAGGGGTCTGTAGGCGCCCCCTCTCGCAGGTGACGTCGTATAATGCTCGCCTGGGCCAGCTGCATTCCCCCTTTTCTTCTCGGCCCACTCTTCTCCGTGTTGCCCCCCCATCCTCCCAACCCCCCCCCCGCTCACTCTCTCTCTCTCTCTCTCTCTCTCTCTCACACACACACACACACACACACACATGCCTGCCTGTCTCTCCTCCCCCACCCTCTGGCATTATTAAAATTTAGCCCAATGAAACTATTCATACTTTTCAATGGACATTTTCGTATAGGATAATAGGCTACAAATTGAGCCTCTTCCCCCCGCGAAGAGAGAGCCCGAGGGGGGAGAAAAGAAAGCAAGCGACGTGGTCAGGAGTAGGGGGGAGCGTCGCGTGCCAAAGACCGGAGGGAGGGGCGAGGCGAGGCGGGAGCCTCGTGTGCCAGCCGCAGCCCCACACCTGCCGGGATGTCCGGACAAATAAAGCGGTGTAAACAAAAAGGGGGGAGATGGACGTGTCACCAAGTCGTGTGAGAAAAGCCTGGGAACAAACGGGGCGCCTCCGTCTCCAAGAGCTCTCCCTTGAGCCCGGCGGAACAGCCTATTAAAGGCTTACTTAATTACTTTAATGACTCTGGACAGGCTTTAAAACGCACTCGGCGCTGGGACTGCGGGCTTGCTGGGATTTGTAAACAGGCAATCGTGTGAGACTCAGCGGTGGGACTAAAGGAGGCGACACTGTTTTGTGAGGGTCCTCGCCCCCCGGTGCCCGCGGCCGCTGCGCCCCGGCGCTCTGCGCCTGCTGCAGGCGCTCGCTCGCCCGCCACCCCAAGTTTACCGCCTCCTTTTCCCGCCGGGTTTGTTGCCATGCAAATGTTAGTCCCCCGCCGATCACGTGTCCTTTGAAGGGCCACGTGGATTAACAAAGCTGATCTGCCCCCAGCTCGCCCCCCTCGGCTGCTAATTTTTTTTTTCTTAACTTCTTTAAAACTGATCTTGAATGCATACATCCCCCAAACGCAGCTCCCCTAATCCTATGGAATAATTCAACTCGTGAATGCACTTGGAGCCCTAGATGACCGCTTTATAAGGCAGTCCCTCAGAGTTGGGAGGCTGCAGTCTACCTGGGACACTCGAGGAGGCACACGAGGCAGAAAGTGGACGGGTGACTCGCGCCACCTCCTCTCCCGAGGGCGCGTACTGACCAGGATGTCAGACAAGCTCAAGGAACGCAAAGTGAGTCGGCTGAGTCCAGACAGCCCTTGCGCCCTGATGGTGGGGGCGTCTGAACTCTCCGAGCCGCCACCTGGCTGGACCGACGGCAGGGACGCGGCACACGGGACTCTCGTGCGGAGGAATCTTGAGTGGTCTGGCGGGGGGAATGAGGTTAGAGAGGGGAGACTCCTTAACTCGGGAGGAGCCCACGCCCGAGACTGGTGGCCACCTCCCCAGTGCCCTGGCGCTCAGCTTGACGGCGTGGCCGGAGCGGGTAGGGCTGCTGGAAGAGGAGCGCACCAGCCTGGGCGTGAGAGGGCAGAGCTCATTTGACTCTTGTGTGGAGGGGCAGGGACCCCTTCCGGGGGGAGTCCCTGGGCCGCGTTGGGGGTTTGGGAAGACGGTTGACACGCAGCTACAGCCATGGCTTTGACGACTCCCTGGGCAACACTACCCTAAACGTACAAACCTCTGTTCGCAGAGAACCCCCGTTTCCCACAAAGTGATAGAAAAGCGGAGGAGGGACCGGATTAACCGCTGCTTGAACGAGCTGGGCAAGACCGTGCCCATGGCCCTGGCGAAGCAGGTAACGTCAGAGGCCGAGCTTACAGAGCCAGGCGCTGGGGCTCCTCCGCTGCCACTCTCGGCAGGGATGCAGGGAGTCCGGAGACGGAGAGGGCCTTTCCCGTGGGCTCTTCTCCCTGGGGGCCCGAGCGCCGAGCGAGCCCCAGGCGGCCCTCTGCGCAGATCCACTGCAGCGCCCTGCTCGCTGCTCCAGATAAATCCGTGCACCCAGCCTGCCGGGGTTGGCTTGCGCCCGTTGGGTCGCTGCGAGGAGCCCTTCCTCCTTTTGCAGAGTTCCGGGAAGCTGGAGAAGGCGGAGATCCTCGAGATGACCGTTCAGTACCTGAGAGCCCTGCACTCCGCTGATTTTCCCCGGGGAAGGGAAAAAGGTGGGCTTGGGTTGGGCAAAGGGGAACCTGGGCAGGGAGCATTCGCCTCATAGAGACTTGGGGGTGGGAGTAGGAGTGAAGGCCTTCACGAGAGGTCTCCACTCTGGATGCGGCCGAAGCGGGGGGAGGCGAGGTTCTACGTAAGCAAGGGGGACGGGGGACAGGTTTCTGGGAATACTGGTTCCGTCGCCTCCTCTCAGGTGGGGGAAGGGTGGGGTCTGGCTCTGAAGGAAAAGGGGGTCGTTTGCTTGCGCTTTCCGGTCTCCAGAATGGGGTAGGAGAGGACAGGCCTCGAATGGGAACTCTGGCCAGAAACATGATGGGAGGGAGGTGCCCGATACCCGCCTCGGGCTCCCGATGGGCAAGGGGCTGCTCATGGCTTTTGCTCATTTCCGCGGGTTTACTCGCCCCTCCAGCAGAACTGCTAGCGGAGTTTGCCAACTACTTCCACTACGGCTACCATGAGTGCATGAAGAACCTGGTGCATTACCTCACCACCGTGGAGCGGATGGAGACCAAGGACACCAAGTACGCGCGCATCCTCGCCTTCTTGCAGTCCAAGGCCCGCTTGGGCGCCGAGCCCGCCTTCCAGCCGCTAGGTTCGCTCCCGGAGCCGGATTTCTCCTATCAGCTACACCCAGCGGGGCCCGAGCTCGCGGGCCACAGCCCCGGGGAGGCCTCCGTTTTCCCGCAGGGCGCTGCCCCCGGGCCCTTCCCCTGGCCGCACGGCACGGCCCGCAGCCCGGCGCTGCCCTACCTGCCCAGCGCGCCCGTGCCGCTCCCGAGCCCCGCGCAACCGCACAGCCCCTTCCTGGCGCCCGTGCAGGGGCTGGACCGGCACTACCTCAACCTGATCGGCCACGCCCACCCCAACGCTCTCAACCTGCACCCCTGCCAGCACCCCCCGGTGCTCTGACGCTGCCTCGCCCGCCAGATTTCTCCGAGCGTCGGGCGCTGCTTAGGAGAAATACTGTATGTTGTACAGGTGTAAATATTGTGCCAACAAAAAAATGGGTGGGGGGAAGGCCAAGAGCAAATTAGTCTCCTGAAGGATCTCCCCCCTGGCAATAAACGATTTCTGATAAAGACCCAAGAGCTGCATTTCTTTGTTACCTCCCGCTCCTCCACAACCACGTTTGGAGGTGCCGAGGGCGCCAGTCTGATAGGGCCAAGGTGATGATCTTCAGTACTTGGGGGCGGGGGGCGCCGCAGGGTCTGAGGAGGAGGGAGGAAAGCCTAAATGGAGCCTCGCTTCGGGGCCGGAAGTCGTGGCTCCCTCGGGGCTCCAGACCCTCACCCGACAGGTGCGCACCTTGGGCATTTGCCTCGGAGCAGGGCGCGCGCGAAGAACTGGGCCCTTGACTCTCAGAAAATGCAAATCGAGGACCCGCCCCAAACTGGCTTTAGCGGACTTTGACCAGCTCCGACCCGGGCGCCCTTCCTACTGCGACACAAGGCCGGGAATCGCGCGCGCACCACGCGCCGGCTGGCCTGGAGAGCGGCGCAACTCAGGCCAGCGAGATGCATGACTAAGTTTACAGCTTAAACACGTCTCTGGGGAAAAAAAAAAAGAGAGAGAGGAAGTAACTTCTGAGTTATGGCTCAGAAACAACATACGAGGAAGTTTGTTACTTTTGGATGACGACTACTCAGCGCCGCCGGAGGGTTCAGGGAAGCGGGCCTTGCCTTTTTGCGCACAGATCCCCTCAGCTTCAGGGACGCTAGGCAACCGGGGGAGCAGCCGGCAACGACCAGGTCAAGAGACGCGCTCCCCAGGGGACTGTTCCCTCTGCAGATCCCCACCATCCGCCACTGGCGCGGGGTCCAGACGCTGGGCCCAGACGCGGGGCAGTCTGTCCAGGTTCTCAGGCCGGTGAGAAAAAGCCTCCCTTTCCCCCTTTCCCGGGAGAGAGAGGCTGGATTTTAACCTTCTGCTCAACCCAGAACGTCGTGAGGAAAGTTTTCAGGGCCCAGGGGAGACTTGGCCAGTGATCTTTAGGAGATTAGGGTTTTCAATTCCACTGGATCTGCACCCCACCCACAACACAGCGATACACTTAAAACAGCAAACAAAAATCATGTTTTTCTAAAGTCCCAAATAGCAAAATGAGCCTGCTATTGTTTTATGTAAACCGGTAAAATGAACAAGGTATCCAAAAGGCTGATGTTGTTTGTGGCGATTTAAACTGTTTTCTTTCATTGCTTTTTTTCCTTTGTTCCTATATTTCCTTTTTTGTTCCCTAGCTCTGATACCCTTTAAATAAATAATTTGAAATTATGTAGCAGGTTTTCCTGTTTCCAGAGGCCATTCAACCAAACTACAATTATTTGTCTTCTCCCAGATTAGCTGGAGGACAATAAATTAACTTATTCCATTTCTGTGGACAGGGTTTAAGGGAGCTCTGACCTAGACTATTTACTGAGGTCATGGAATAGGATGACCTGCAATTTGTAAACCATCAAACTCGATTTAATCAGAGACAGGCGAAAAAAAAAAGAAAAGAAAAAGGAAAGAAAAGAAAAGATAAGAAAAAAAAAAACAAAAAATAAACCCTCTTCATTACATTGCCCATAAAGTGAAATTTAAATGTGCAAGGAGGGGGCAGGGGAAATCTATAAACTTTAGAAAAGGTCTTGCAAGTAAGGAGTTCTTGCCCTAACATATACTCCATGTCACTACAATACTTATCTATAAAATGTGAGATGCAAATACCTCCTCCCCTTATGAACTGATATAGCTGGAGCCTGAAAGCAAATGTCAGGCCAGGAGGCCTTCCAGATCACAAATATACATTGCACAGTATGGAATGGAAGTGAATTATGCAGAAATGGGAGAATGCATGGTGCCTATTATTGGAACACATGTCTTACACCCATTTTCATCAGCGCTGGATACAGAATATGAAGAAGGCCTTTCAGGCTTTTTTTTCTCTGAGCATTAAGCCAATCTGAATTCCCTTTGGCAGTGAAGCATTAAAGATATAGTGTTACCCTGGAAATATAAATTATTAATATATTCAGCATTTTTGTCACTTCTCAACTGTTAACCAAATTAGACAAAACTTTCTTTTACTAAGTAGATTTTCTCTTTGGGATTAGCTTTGGGAATGCACAGGGCCACCACAGTAAAAACTGTGGTCATTTACATATAATTTTGCAAACTTCCACTGGTCCATGACAGTCTTTGTACCTCAAATGTTGGTATTCTTGATTTTTTTTTTCTTTCTCATTTAACTGTGGAGGATAAAACCCTGCTTTGGGTTTACAATGACTTTAGGATAAAAGTCTCCCTCCCCTTTCTCTTCCTCCCTCTTCTGTGTGTGTGTGTGTGTGTGTGTGTGTGTGTGTTGTGTCTTTTTCAGAAACCTTCATTCCAAAGTTCCAATTCTCCGGGCTTGGCCAAAAGTCAAACTTGGAATAGTCTGACTTTGCAAAAGATTAAAAATGTCACTACAAAATGGAATTGATTCAGATCAGATTGTGACTTTAAAGTGTTCTTTCCTGCACTTTCTCTGACAACACATGCCTCCCAGCCTTGCTGTCCCAAACCCCCACCTCCTCCCTGCCTCTGTCTGAGTCTCTTAGGCCCAATCCCTCCACTCTTTCTTTTAAGTAAGTTGTATAGTAATGGTTTCCAAGAGAGGCTCAACCAAACCCAGAAATAACAAAAAACAAAACGCAGTGGGTTTGGCTGGAGGTGACCCATTGTGACACCCCTGAAAGGGGCAACCCCTTGTTTCTTGGGCTTCATCCTTGAGTAGGCAAGAATAAAAATAATCATCCCCATGAAATCAAAGGTTTTCTCCAGAGGCTTGAGGGACAAAGCTGATGGCTGGTGCTTTGGGTCGGTCCCTGTGGCTCTGTAGGGCTAGAAGTAGGCGGTTCCAGGCTCTCCGGCTGCCCCTGCCGAAAGGGTGGTAATACAGAGCTCACTGGTGCTTCCAAGCGTTATTGAACAAACACAGCCCATGTATCAGTGGGGGCCCTCCAGTCTGGGCTGCTACATACCAGGCAAGGAAGCTGGAGTAGCAGCTATGTAAGGGCTTCATGGACCCCACAAAAGTATGGCATTCCTAGGAACCTGGTAATGGGTATCTGCATACAGTAACACACCAAGAAAAATAAGGCAACATTTAGTAGGTGCTCAATGAACATTTGTGGAATGACTAAATGAACTGCCTAACAGTGCTGAGCCTCTTGGAATTCTGCATCTCCCCTAGACTTCTTGTTTCTGGCCCTCAGATCCCTCCTCACTTCAGCAGACACCAAAACGTACCGGTATACCCAACTTTGCCCAGAAATTCTACCTTGTGGTCTGGCAGCGGGAGACAGTGCCTGGCCTGCTGGGTGAAGGCAGTTAACTCTTGCTGAGGGCCCAGCTAAATGCAGACCCCAAGTCCAGGATTTGAATTCTGAACTCACCTGATGGAGGTTCTGCTCCTTTCACATGAGAAAGATCCAAGACTGGGCTGAGCCAGATTCTACCTTCTCTTCTGCACCATTAGTTGTTCAGAGTGGGGCTTCTGGAGCCAAACTACCTGGATTTGCATTCCAGCTCTGCTGCGTACTAGCTGTGTGCCTCTGGACAAGTTGCTAAGCCTCTCTGTGTCTGTTTCATCATCTGTAAAACAGGGATATTAAAAGTGCCTGTACCTCATGTGGGTTGCTAGGAGGATTAAGCGAATTGGTACACTCAAAGCACTCTAGACAGTGTCTGGCCCATAGTGAATGTTCAATAGATGTTAGCTATTATAATAATAATTATCTAGTACTCCCTCCTTTCTCCTAAAGAGTCAGACCCTTGCGGCCACCTCAAAGAAAAAAGTAAAATGTCAAGGCAATCATTAAAAAAAATCTGAACTTTCCCCGCCCCCCAAAACAAATCTTAAACCCCAAGGCTTGTTCTGGAACAAGGCAATATTCTCCATTTAGGGCAAGTGGGGGTAAGGAGCTCTAATTCCAGCACATGGTCAATCTGGGGGCTGTGAGCCCTTCTCCCAGTTGTGACTGATAATCCGAGCCCCCCTGATAACCTTGGAGTACCATCTCTCGCACTCTCCCCTTATGGCCTTATGTTATCCTGCAACAGCTCTTATACCTACATTCCCACATTCTCTCTCCAATTACACATCAATGCCTGTTAACAGACAAATCTTGGCTGTTGCAAATTCTCTTTTGGAACATGGGGTACACGAATAAACAAATTCAATATTCCTTAAGTACACTTTCTATGGCAGCTTTATGTTCTTGTCAGCATCTCCCTCCACCCCTGCGCTTTTCCTATGCAAGCCTTTCATCTGTCCTCTTCTTCACCTGTCTGCCCCACCGCTGGCTCCAGACTCAACCCTTGATGCAGGTAAAGGCTGTGCCCTGGAGGGACCCTGTCCCAAGTGCTCACTCCTGGGCTCCCTTGGTCTTCAGTCCTCATTCTCCTCACCTGTCGGATTGCTTGGCTCCTGCTATCTGCTTCTCCGTGTGTCACGGGCCTGGCATAAGAGTGTATCTGTGTGTGTTCCCCGTGTGGAGAGGGGATCCCTGGAGTAATCCTTCTGATACTCCTGGTATCCCTTCCTGGTCTGCAGCTATCAAGGGTAGTGCTCAGGAGGTGGGCCCAGGCACCCAGCTGGCCACAGAAGCCCTTTCTCTCTCTGGTGCCAACCTGCCCACAGGAAGCGAGCAAGCATCCCTACTAGGCTGGTTGGCAGATTTCCAGTCTTCCTATACTTCTTCTGGGTAAGTTTAAGGTCAAGTGTTGCAAGCCCCCCTCTCTCTACCCACAGAAGGCGCATCCACTGATCAGTAGCAAAATAGACATTTTTATCTCCACCTGACACCTACATCTACATCTCAGATGATTTGGAGCACAGAGAGGAGGGAAAAAAAAGACTCACTAATCAGATAGCCTGAAACCCGAGAACCTGGGGGCCTCCGTGTGTGTAGCT